CCAGCTAAATTAGGACCCCACCTGGAGCTCCTGCCACCGGACCAGCGCTGACTTGCCGCTGCTCTCCGCACCGAAGGTAAGTGAAAAAAACCATAGCGCAAACATCGGGGCATTTTGACAAGTACAAGTACTTGTCAAAATGCCCTGTTTTTACAGGGGGTTCGATTGGGAAGGGGTGGGGGGGATGGGGCAAAAATGCACCTTGCCTGTGCAGGCAAGTATCCTAGCACCAGCCCTGGCAGCAGAAACCCGGACACAAGATGTCAGGCAGACAGTGGCAACCAAAAATAAGATAGGGGCTACTGACCCCCCACTAAAAATAGTTTTAACTGTGATATTTACATATGAATGGGCGGAGCTATTTACATTTGAATAAGCCACGACTCATTCTCCCCCAAAAAACGTCCACACGTCGCTAGACTGTTCGGGTTTTGCTTGAAGAAAAGGTGGCAACCCTAAGTGACACTGAGATTATGGTGCCGGCAGGGGCGTAATAACAGCCATAGCAGCCAATGCGGCTGCTATGGGGCCTGGGGGTGGAAAGGGGGCCACATGAAGGATTGCTGAAGTTGCTGCTCACCCTTTACCCCTTATGGCATTTCCAATCAAGTTGATATCAGATGTACAGGAAGACACTCTGCGGACAGCTCTCCTGCTACCTGTCCTTGATTTAGATTTTAAAGGGTTTGGCATGGGGCCCCATTAAGATTTTGCTATGTGGCCCCATGATCTGTAGTTACGCCCCTGGGTGCCGGCATTGTGGACTCGCGGTTCCGCTAGTGCAGGCCTTCTTAAACTTTCTCCACACGTGACCCCTTTTTGGCCGAGGAAATTTTTACGTCACCCCAGCGTCGGACGGTGTCTCTCCCCTCTTTCGAGGATAACATAGACACCGGCACTTTTAGGAGTGCCGGTGTCTATGTTATCCTGTGATTATAGACGGTTGCCATCCGTCGACTTCCGCAGCACCCGTCTTTTATAAGCAACAGCGGTTTTGAGTGCGATGGGTTCATGGACTGTAACCGCAGCAGTGACCCCCCCCCCTTAACAAGGGACTGATTGGAGGTTTCAGTCAGACAAAGGGAGCCGCAAAGCAAGCTACTTAACTGTGCAGCCTTCTTAGATACCTCATAGTGCCCTGAGAATCCTTTGTCATGTGTTAAATATTCATTCTTAAAGTAAACATTTTAATTAGGTTTTGAGAAACACAAACAAAACAACAACAATGTATCTTTATTTAAAAGGAAGAACAAATAAAATTGACCCAAAATCAAGGAGGTTTTTATAGTCCCCCAAAGCTGCTATGAGGCCCAGAAACCATTTATATTGGCACAATGAGCTATGGGAAAATATACTTTTTTATGGGTGTTTGTAAATCGCTTTGTTGCTTTTTCATGGAATTCGGCCATCTGAGGCGACACGGACCCGAGCGCTGATCCATTCTGGGTTCACGTTTCAGGGTGTCGGGCGGCGAGCTGTTCGAGCGAATCATCGATGAGGATTTCGAGCTGACGGAAAGAGAAGTCATCAAGTACATGAAGCAGATTTCGGAGGGGGTGGAGTTCGTCCACAAGCAGGGGATCGTCCACCTGGACCTCAAACCCGAGAACATCATGTGTGTCAACAAGACCGGAACCAAAATCAAACTCATCGACTTCGGCCTGGCCAGGAGACTAGGTACGGGTGTGTGTGTGTGTATGTGTATCTATGTGTGTATCTGTGTGTGTGTGTATCTATGTGTGTGTGTATGTGTATCTATGTGTGTATCTGTGTGTGTGTGTGTGTATCTATGTGTATGTGTGTGTGTATCTATGTGTGTGTGTGTATCTATGTGTGTGTGTGTGTGTATCTATGTGTGTGTGTGTGTGTGTGTATGTGTGTGTGTGTATCTATGTGTGTGTGTGTGTGTATCTATGTGTGTGTGTGTATCTATGTGTGTGTGTGTGTGT